AATTGGTCTATATAGATTCTCTGATTTTTGCCAATTCAGTTTTGAGAGATTGTATATTTCTAGGAATTTACTCATTTTTTCCAGATTATCCAATTTTTTGGTGTGTAGTTCATAAATTTTCTTACAACCTTTTGTATTTTTGTGGTGTCAGTTGTAATTTCAACTCTTTCATTTCTGATTTTAATTATTTGGGTCCTCTCTTTTTTTCTTGGTGAGTCTGGTTAAAGATTTGTCAATCTTGTTTATCTTTTCAGAGAACCAGCTCTTGGTTTTATTGATCTTTTGTATTTTTTTAGACTCTATTTTGTTTATTTCTGCTTTGATCATTATTATTTCCTTCTTTGTACTCACTTTGAGCTTTGTTGTTTTTTTTCTAGTTCCTTTAAGTGTAACATTAGGTTGTTTATTTGTAATTTTTCTTGTTTCTTGCAGTAGGCCTAAAATGCTATTAATTTCCCTCTTAAGACTACTTTTGCTGTGTCCCATAGATTTTGGGTTGTTGCATTCTTATTTCATATGTTTCAAGGAATCATTTGATTTTTTCTTGATTTCATTGTTCACTCATTCATTGTTTAGTAAAATATTATTTTGCTTCCATGTTTTTGTGTGTTTTTCTGTTTTTTTCCCTTGCGATTGTTCCTAGTTTTATACCATTATAGTTAGATATGATTGAATGATTTTAATCTTCTTAAATTTATTGAGACTTTTTTTTTCCTGTCATGTAGCATATCCTAGAAAATGTTCCATGAGCACTTCGAAAGAATGTATATTCTGCTGCTTTGGGATGAAATGCTCTCTGAAAATATCAGTGAAATCCATCTGATCTGTTGTGCCACTTAAGGCTGCTGTTTTTGATTTTCTCTCTGGAATGTCATCATTGATGTCAATGAAGTGTTAAAGTTCCTCACTACGACTGTATTATTGTCAGTCTTTCCCCATCAAGATTTGCTTTACATATTTAGGTGCTCCTATGTTGGGTGCATAAATGTTTACAAGGGTTATATTCTCTTGTTGGATTGTTCCCTTTATCATTATGTAGTGTCCTTCTTTTTCTCTTACTATAGACTTTGTTTTGAAATCTATTTTGTTAGATATGAGTATTGCTAACCTAGCTTATTTTTCTTTCCATTTGCATGAAATATCTTCCTTTTTTAAAATAAAAAGATTTTATTATTTGCAGAGAGCGGGGTAGGAAGAGTGAAAGACAGGGAGAAAAACACTGATGTGAGAGCAAAACAACAGCTGGTTGCCTCTTGTACGTACCCTCATTGGTGATGAACCTGCAACCCAGGCATGTATCCTGACTGGGAATTGAACCCACGACCTTTCGTTTTACAGGATGATGTTCAACCAACTGAGCCATACTGGTTAGGGATCTATGAAGTTCCTTTTCACTCTTTACTTTTAGTCTGTGTTTACCTTTCATTCTGACTTGGATATCTTGGGACTTGTTTTTTTATCTATTCAGCTCCTCTCTGTCTTTTGATTGTAACATTTAAGCCATTTATATTTAAAGTGATTATTGATAGGCACATATTTATTGTCATTTTATTCTTTATAATATGTTCCTTTGTTTTCTTTTGTTCTATTTATAGAAGACCCTTTAATATTTCTTAAAATTCTCATTTTGTGCTAATGATCTGCTTTGCTTTTTTTTTTTTTTGCCTGGGATGCTCTTTGTCTGTTTTTCAATGATAAAAAATAGCCTTGGTAGGTAAAGTATTGTTAGTTTTAGGTCTTTACTTTTCATCACTTTGAATGGTTTATGCCTGTCTCTTCTGGCCTGAAATGTTTCTGTTGAGAAATCAGATGACAGTTTTATGGGAAATTCCTTGTAGGCAAGTGTCTTTGTCTTTTAAGATTTTCTCTTTGTCTTTAATCTTTGCCATTTTAATTATAATGTGTCTTGGTTTGGGCCTCTTTGGGTTCCTCTTGTTTGGGACTCTGTGCTCCCTGGACTTAAGTATCTTTTTTTTTTTTTCACCAGGTTAGGGAAGTTTTTGGTTATTTCTACAAATAGATTCTCAATCCCTCGTTCTCTCTCTCCTTCTGGTACCCCTATGATATGGATGTTGTTACAAACTGTCTTCATTTTTTAAAATTCTTTTTTCTTTTTGCAACTATGATTGGGTGATTTTTGCTACATAGTCTTCCAAATGACTGATTTTATCCTCTGCTTCATTTAACCTGTTTTTTCTCCTTCTAGTGTGTTCTTCATTTCAGATAATGTATTCCTCATTTCTGACTTGTTCTTCTAATGGTATTTATGTCCTTTTTCTTTTTTTTTAAAGGTGTTTTTAAAAAGATTTTATTTATTTATTTTTAGACAGAGGGAAGGGAAGGAAAAAGAGAGAGAGAAACATTGTGTGGTTGCCTCTTATGCGACCCGCACCAGGGAACCTAGTGTGCAACCCTGGCATATGCCCCGTTTGGGAATTGAACTAGCGGCCCTTTGGTTCACAGGCTGGTGCTCAAAAGGAGCCCAATGGGCTCCTTTTTCATGTTGTTGAAGTTCCCACTAAATTTTTTGAGCATTCTTATAACCATTTTTTTGAACTTTTTATCTGGTACTTCTCTTGCCTTTATCTCATTTAGCTTTTTGTCTGGAGATTTTTCCTGTTTCATTTGGGACATGTTTATTTGTCTCCCTATTTTGGCTGTCACTTTGTGTTCGTTTTTTGTAGGTAGATCTGCTCTGTTCTCCATCTTGGTAGGGTAGCCTTATGTAGTAAGTGTCCTCTAAAACCCTGTGGCACAGTCTCCATAATTTCTGAGTTGGGCGCTCTGGTAGTCCCTGGTGTGGGTTATGTGAACCCTCCTGTTGTAATTGAGTCTTGATTGCTATTGACCTGTTTACGCGTGGGATTGACCCTTGGGCTGGTTGATTGTGAGGTTCCACCCTGACCACAGCATGTGAGCTGTTGGTGCAGGTGCTGACCACACAAAGCAGAATTTGCCTCAGCAGCATATGGTGCCTGCCAAGATTTTTCTTTGGCTGTGCCGCTTGTGGAGCTAAGTGGATCCTGCTCTGATGTTGTCTGAAGTTGGCAGCTGGGTGTATTGTTTCTGGGACCTGTTAAGTGGGACTCTGGTACAGGTCAATGTCAGATGCTGCATGTGGCTGGCCCTGGGCAACCTGTTTGGAGCTACAAAGTGGTCTACAGTTTGTGACTGCTTTTGCTGGGCCTGGGTATCTGTGGGAAGGACCAGCTTGTACATCAGAGCCAGCTTACACCAAGATTGAGCTCGTGGCAGGTTAGCAAAAGGCCTGAAGTACCCCGAGATCTGCCTCTGCCTGCTTTTGCCTGCTTGGCTGCCTGTTAGGCTCATTCACTAATAGTGCCTCTGGCGCTGCTTGAGTTGTATGAGGTAGGTTCTCAGTGAATCATCAAGCAAACTCGGTGCCAGTGTTGGGTCTTAGACCACTCAGCAAAAGTCCCACAGTATACCAAGTCTAGCTACTACCCACTGGGTGTCTGCAAACTTTTGTTTTGAGAAAAGATTTAAGGGAGTCATTAGGCTGAGGCCAACAGAGCTTATGAGGCCCAAATGGACAAAGATTTGGCTGTGTGAGGGAGGGTTCTGCATTAGTTGGGCATTTGAGGGCAAAATATCCCTCATCCTAGAGCCACACATCTCAGTATACCCCATATTCTGCCGGGGTCTACTGAAGAGCCGACTCAGGGGGTGGGGCCCCTGGCAGTTGGGAGGGTGGGGCTAGTTGATGTCCAGTTTTGATGTGGCTTCTGTAAATCCTTGGCTATAAAACTTCTGTTCTGCTAGTCTTCAGGTGATTATTCAGGTTGATAGCTCTATATTTTGTAATTCCAGTTTGGTCCTGGGAGGAAGTAAGTGTAACTTCCACCTACTCTGCCACCATCTTGGATCTCTGAGTGAAAACTGCTATGACTCTACTGTAGTAGTCCAGATGTACTAGGGCATTATGGTAAAACATGTAATAAGCCTCCACCAGTATGGCTCAGTGGGTTGGGCATTATCTCACAAAGTGAAGAATTGCCAGTTCAGTTCCCAGTCAGGGCACATGCCTAGGTTGTGGGCCATGTCCCCTGTTGGGGGCGTGTGAGAGGCAACCGATTGATGTTTCACTCAAACATCAATGTTTCTCTCCCTCTCTTTCTCCCTCCCTCTTCCTCGCTCTAAAAATAAGTAAAAAGTCTTTAAAAAAGTAAATAAAACATATAATAAAATCTGACACAACACTGAAATGTGGTTGCCTATTGGGTTCTGCACGGGCCCAGACCTATCCGTTCTTCTGTAATGTGCAGAACTGAATGAGTGAGCCATTTATTTTGAGGAATATTATTTTTAAAACTGAAATACTGCATTTGGACATTGAAAACACCATATTGTTTTGGAATGCTGAAAGCTAGTATGATTATGAATTGTTATGTTAATGTTAATCTCTAGGTCAAGGGAGAAATTGGTAGTTACATGAAAGTTGGAGGATTTGGAATAGTTATAGATCCAGCACTCAGATTATAATGTGGTGTATTAAAAGTGTCTAATTAGTAGTAATGTCAGTACTAGTGAACCTACTTGGTAAATTCGTCTTTTTCATCATAGAAGATTAATAATTGTAATTTTTAAAATATATGCAAAAATGTGTTTCCTATTCAAGTAAATTTATTTTAATTACAAAATGTTTAGGCCACCCTATAATGTAAACTCAATAATGTACAAAATAAAGCATATTTAACCCTAAGCATATTTTTTCCTTTGGATGTCTTCTGTATTTCTTTGAATGCATTAAATTTAGTGGTTATAGCTCTTTGTGAAGCAGGTACTACTCATTAGAGTGATTCCATGTTTGGGAATATTAATACCTAGCCATTGTGGTATGCATTCATTTTTTAAAACAAGTATAATATTAGTGGGATATGGTCTTTTTTTAAATAATTATGAAAGTTAATAGTGATGCACTGTTTAGTTTTGAGATGTTTAGCATAGTCTCATCTATATATTTTTTTTCTTATTATTAGGCAAGAAATTTTGAAATGGAATGGATGGGGATATAATGATTCCAAGCTCGTCCTCAATAAGAAAGGTCATGTTGAGTTGACTGGGAAAAGGTAATTGTGTTTATTCCTTCTTATGTTCTTTATTTTCTCTTTCTTTCTGTGAAAAAATGTAAACATAAATAACAAATATAACATGTTAAATAATAGACATACATAAAAATAGAATAATACGACTCTTCCCTTCATTTAAAAATGGAATTTAGATGTTCTAGGATTAAATATGTACTACATTACAAAATTTTTAATAACTAAAACTGAGTTTTAACTAAATAGTATTTAGTTCCCATTCTGGTGCTTCTAGAAACACTGTTACCTTATTACGGAAAGTAGATCATAGCTTTCTAGCTCTAGTTTCCTAGGGATAGTAGTTGAATTAGTAGATTTTTCTGATTTTGATCAGAAAACATTTATAAGCATTCTTTAAGATGAGAATAGCTATTACTTATTGAGTGACTACTAAGTTATCTTAAAATAACCCAAAGATGGGTAGCCCTGTTTTCTTAAACATAAAGGTGGTTGAGCATGAGAAGGCTAAATAGCTTACTTGTGGCCACCTGCTCAGTGGGAAATTGGGATTAAAAATTAAGTGTTTTTAAGCTTCATTTTCATACTGTTTCTGTTATGCGTGCTTATGAAGTACCGCTGCAGATTACCATCTCATCCGTTGTATTGATCTTGTTCTCTCTCCAGACTCTGGGAGCATTTCACAGTAGCCTTTTACACCCATACACCAGCGCAGTGGAGGTAGTTGTATTTAAAAAATTACCCTGTGACAAAAATTTCTGTTGTTCTAGTAAGAGGCAAAGGGCAGAAGCATAAGAAGGTTATGATATTTGTAAAAGAGAAAATGAAATTTATGAATAGAAAGGATAAGTTGGAGAAAATACTGATTTGGCTGAACAGAATTAATTTACCCTTTTATTAATACTAGATTATAAGGACCATTTTTAAAATTTTTTGTTAAAGAGTTTCTATTCTGGGTTTGTAATGGACTGAATACACTCCTTCTACCCTCTGTAACCACGTAGAAAACATGGATCAAATACCACAGGAAACAAATATAATAGAAAGAAAGGAAAGGAAATCCTTAGGTGCCAGAAACCAATAGTGACGCTCAATGAAATTTATGGGGATTCCTTTATTTCTGATACAGAAAAGATTGAAAAGGTAGGAAATTTTTATAAGGAAATGTAATTAATTGTATGTATTTTTAGAAGGGTAATTTTGGTATTTAAAACCTATCCATTAAATTAAAAACAATTATTTTAAGGTATTTTAGATCTTAGGGAAAAATGAGCTTTTTCCTGATTCCAGTCTAACTTCTGAACAGAGTTGTAATTTTTTAGTTTATAAATACTTAAGTTTATAATCTTGTCATTCTTATTCCTTCTAGATATAGAAGAATTTAGTCCTCTTGATTTCAAGCAGCAGACAATAAAACTTCAGAACTAGTGTTACATATTTCTATAAAGTAAAATTTTTGAAAGATGTCATTTTTTGATGTTAAAGGTTGTATACATTAATTTATACAAAGCACAAGTTAGTATTTGTTATTATTTTTTAAAATATTTTTATTGATTATGCTATTACAGTTTTCCCAATTTTTCCCCTTCTATCCCCCCTCCACTCTGCACCCCCATCGCTCCAGCCTTCCCTCTCTTAGTTCATGTCCATGGATTGTACATGTAAGTTCTTTGAGTCCTCTGTTTCCCATACCATTTTTTATCTCTCCCAATCTGCCTCTGTTTCCCATACCATTTTTTATCTTTCCCAATCTGCCTTATGCCTTAATCATGTTTCTTCTTCCCTGTACCTTTTCCCCACTATTCCTCCCTTCCCCCTCCCCACTGAAAACCCTCCATGTGATGTCCATTTCTCTGATTCTGTTCCTGTTCTGGTTGTTTGCTTAGTTTTTGTTTTCATTGTTTTTCTTTTCTTTTAGGTTCATTTATTGATAGTTGTGAGTTTGTTATCATTTTATTGTTCATATTTTTTATCTTTTTCTTAGATAAGCCCCTTTAACATTTCATATAATAAGGGCTTGGTAATGATGAACTCCTTTAACTTGACTTTATCTGGGAAGCACTTTATCTGCCCTTCCATTCTAAATGATAGCTTTGCTGGGTAGAGTAATCTTGGATGTAGGTCCTTGCCTTTCATGACTTCAGATATTTCTTTCCAGCCCCTTCTTGCCTGTAAGGTTTCTTTTGAGAAATCAGCTGATAGTCTAATGGGAACTCGTTTGTAGGTAATACTCTCCTTTCCTCTTGCTTCTTCTAGAATTCTCTCTTTGTATTTAATCTTGGGTAACTTAATGATGATGTGTCTTGGTGTGTTCCTTCTTGGGTCCAACTTCTTTGGGACTCTCTCGGCTTCCTAGCCTTCCTGGAAGTTTATTTCCTTTGCCAGATTAGGGAAGTTTTCCTTCATTATTTGTTCAAATAAGTTTTCAATTTCTTGGTCGTCCTTTTCTCCTTCTGGCACCCCTATGATTTGGATATTGGAGAGTTTCAGGTTGTCCCAGAGGTTTGTAAGAGTCTCTTCACTTTTCAAATTCTTATTTCTTCATTTTGTTCTGGATGGATGTTTATTTTTTCCTTTTGTTCCAAATCATTGCTTTGAATCCTGATTTCCTTCCTGTCACTGTTGGTTCCCTGAACTTTCTGCTTTATTTCACTTTGGGTATCCTTCATTTGCTTTTTTCATTTTTTGACCAAGCTCAATCAGATCTGTGAGAATTTTAATTACCAGGGCTTTGAATTCTGTATCAGATAGGTTGGTGATCTCCTCCTCACTTAGCTCACTTTCTGAGGCTTTACTCTGTTCTTCTGTGTGGACCATATTTCTTTGTCTTGGGCAGCTGATAGGTTGTAGTGGGGCAAGGCCTTAGGTATTCACTGGGGCAGGGCAACCCTCTTTGCTGCTCTTCGGCACTGCCTGTGGGGGAGGGGCCTGAGAGGAAACAGTGAGACTCGCCTGCTTGTCTCTAGCGCACTTTTCAATGTGTGCTGTCTCCCGGTCCCCAGAGGTTTACCTGGGTTGGCAATGTGGTCCACCGCCTTACCAATGTGGTTGTTCTCATTGATTTTTAAAATTCCTGTGTTGTCAGAGTTCCATGCAGTCTGATTTTCTGGTGCTTTTGGTTGTTGATTGATTTTAGGTGGTGGTTATCCTCCTTTTGGTTGTACAAGGAAGCCAAGGGTCTCTACCTAGGCCTCCATCTTGGCCAGAACTCCACAAGTTAGTGTTTAAATGGCAAGAATTTGATTGGGTTTGTTGCACATTGTATTTTCAGTGGCATAATTTTTTATTAAAGTTTCATCTTCTATTATAAAAAGGCTATTAAATTGCTTAATTGCTGCCTCTGTGCACTGCCCCAGAGTGAGTGAGTGTCTTTAGGCCATAAATTCTGACCTGCACTTCCTCCTTGGGTATCATTCTCTCTATGTACAGTGATTTCATCGGTGTTGAAAGCTTGTTCTGGTTCTGTTTCTGCTACAGTATAGTCTACCTTGCTCTAAAGAAAGGTGGTAATTTTGTTACAGAACAGGGCCAAGGGGGGTATGATATACTATTACAGAAAGGAGCCCCCACTAGGTTTGCATTGTCCACTGCCAGAGGAAAGACATCTCTCAATGCCAGAGATTTGTGAAAAGGAAAGGAAATGTTTATTTAAAGCCATATAGACTGAAAGTAGTGACCCAATGTCTTCATTAAAATATCAAAGTCTTTTAGGATACCCACAGACAGCCATAGTGCTTCCTTCTCCCTCTGCCCTAATTTGGGGTACTGTATCTCAGGAAAAGAAGTAGAAGTCTGTGATTCAGGCTTCCGGCACCATCAGCTGTGTTGCCATCAGGATCTCTAGCTTTGGACCCCAGTTAGCCCAAAGTCATGTGGCACCTTCTCATGGCCTACCAGTAAAAATCTTTTCACCCCTTTTCCTCCAGGCAGTCTCTCCTGCTTCCTAAGCCATGTGGCCAAGGGGTGCACTCCAAAGCCGCGGGGGTCCCCACTCTGGCCAAAGCCGTGTGGTTCTCACCAAGGCTGTGGGGGTCCCCACTCTGCCAAAAGCGCGTGGTTCTTTCCCCACATGGCTGTGGGGGTCCTTACTCTGGCAAAACTGCGTGGTTCTTCTCCCAGCAAAACTGTGTGGTGGGGAGGGTTGCCACTCTGCCAAAGCTGAGTGGCTGTTCTCTGCTAAAGTCGCATGGTGATTCTCCCTCACATGGCTGCAGGGGTCCCCACTCTGGCCAAAGCCATGTGGTTCTCCCTCTGCAAAGCTGCCCTGTCTGGGTTTAAATCCCCGAGCCAACCTTCCTCTGTATCCCCATTTCCTACTCCTCCTACTTTCGGCTATACTTGCCAGTACTCCCATATCCTTCTAGCTTTACTGGGCTGCCATAGTGAGTCTGGGCAGGCGTGGCCCCATGGCATGGAGCCAATCATCTCCAAGCTCTCACGCAGGTGCTGTAACCAGGGGGAGTTGCCTCCCAGTTACATATTGGGTGGAAGCCACTCCCTTCTCCCTGGCTCAGCAAGGCCCCAGCTATTTAACATATCTATGCAACCGGTTAAAGGTTATAGACATGTTAAATGACCATTCCAGAGGTTAGCTGCAAAGCTGTTCCGTGCAAAACAGCTTTGCATGTTCATGCTCAATGTGTCCCTTCCCCCAGCTCACATCTGTGGCGGGGTTGGAGGGTGGGGGAGGGGGGGAAGATATCCTATATATCTTTCTAATATTTCCTGGACACCTTGAGTTCTGGACCCCATTCCAAATCCCTTTTTGGGGCTCGCCTCTTGGCTGCACCCTGTAACAATTTGATCTCATTTTATATTTTATAAAAAGACCATTTCTTAAAATTCTCAAACTAATCTTCAGTTATGGTGAAGAGCTATTCAGTAGTCACCCTGTTTCAACAACTGGTATAGGTACTTGGCTTTCCTCTTAGCACGTTTCTGGTAGAAGTCGAATGTTTCCTGCCCGTGTGTTCACTCTGCAAGTTAAATGTATTTACATCTTCGACTGAACTAGGTTGTAAGTTTCT